CCCCACCCCACCCTCGTGTGGGAAAATTTAAAAAGAGAAAGGAAAAAGGCATTCATGTAAAGGTAGAGAGATATCAGGAGACACGCAGAAGGGTCAAAACCACTGGGAGGGCCGCACTTTGGAAAGAATGTGGAAGAAAACCCACTAAGTGTTGTGACTCCCGCAGGAGCATGAGTGGCTGCAGATAGGGAGGAAGGGTGCGGGGAGGGGGCTGACTTCCACTTTATGTGTCTGTTGTCTGGCGATTTACTAAGCACAGTGCATTTTGGTGATGGATTGAAAAGCAAAGAGAAATTTAAGAAAGAAAACTTTTGACTCAGATCATCCTCTCGGCCTTTTATCGCCTGGATTTACTCACATGTGTACGAAACGAGATAGGAAAATGTTACTCATCACATGTTGTTAGTAATAGACTGGAAGCAACCTCAGTACCCATTCATTGGGGACTGGGGAAGTGAACACGGGACAGCATACAGCAGAACATTATGAAGCTGGAGAAGAGCATGCAGCTATGGAACCATTTCCAAAACAACAACAGAAAAAAAGACACAGAGAGAGAGATGCAAAAGAATGGAGCTCAAAAAATCATTGTGGATTGAATGATGCGAAGGACACACGGCAAGTGCGAACAGCAGTTTCCTCTGGCTCAGTCACCTCTGGCCGAGGGAGGCCTGGGAGGGAGGTGTTTTACTGTATATCTTGTGGTGCTAACCCGTTCTCTAGACTAAGAAACCGAGTCTAGCCAGGAAAGAAGGAACTTCTCCTGGACCTCGTGGGCCAAGCGGTAACTGGTGGCATCCTCCACCTTTGCTGATTACGACTGAGAGTGACCAGCAGAATCCCAGGCCGTGCCCCCCAGACTTTGGGTGGGGGAAGAATAAGAAGGTGCACAAGCTGTCATGAGCCACACCCAGGTCAGAGGGAGCTGGAGGGTCCTCATGGCCCCACCCTGACCTTGCATGTGAACAATAATAACAGGATTTTTGTCCCCTCAGGAACCCTGACCTAGGCAACTTTTTCTCTAATCTGGTCTAAATGGAGATAAAATCAGCCTCCACGTCAGGTATCTGGGCCTTATCTCCACTGTGATGGTTGTTTTCTTTGTCATTGAAAGGGCGTTCCCCTGCACCTTTGCTTATAATGCACAAACTCTCTTGATGGTACAGACAAGAAACTGTAAGGAGAGCAGGTGGATGGGGTCAGACTTATTTATTTACACAGAAGCAAAGCCAGTTAAGGTGTATGGGGCGAACTGTATGGTGTGTAAATTATATCTCAATAAATCTGTTAAAATGTACAAAATGAAAGAAGGAAGGAGAAACAAAGAATCAAGGTGTTAGCTCCAAGAAAACATCCAGCCCTGTCCCCACCCAGTGCTAGGAGCCAGGCTCTATTCCTGCCTGGCTGCCTGTACTCACCCTCACTCCCAGCTTTGGTCTAGACTCAGCCCTGGCTTCGGTCCTTACCCAGCCTTGGCCTAGTGCCAGCTCTAGCTCCAGCCGTAGGCCCTCAAATGGTCCCTTGCCCTCATCCTAAAGGAGGCCCCCAGCTCTGGCCCCAGCCCTGCCCCAGAGGCTGGCTCATGTCCAGCTCCCAGCCCCAGCCCTGGCTCTGGTGTCCAACCCGAGTCCTAACCTCGATGCAGCCCCAGCCCCGTCCCAGCTGGGTGCCATGTGCCAGCGCCCACCTGTTGCGGCCCTGCAGCCGGTGGAGCTCGTGGCCCTGCAGCAGCAGCTGCTTCTCCAGCTTGTTGGTGGACAGTGAGGTCTCCAGCAGCTGGATCTCCATCCGGGATGTCTGGTTCAGGACCTGCTCCAGCAAACAGGAGGGTAGCTGGGGAGGAGAGCGAGCCCCGCAGGAGCCCTGCCCAGTCGTGGCCACCCTCACATAGGCCCTGCTACTCCAGAAACTTGCTGATGAGCTTTCATCACAGTTCTTCACTCACTCGACTCATCTGCTCCTTACATTCGCCCTTCCCCACCTCTGTGTGCTGTTCTAGTCTCTTGCCAATTCTGCCCCAGGAGTCATTCTTGACTCCACCTCCGACCCACTGGTAAGTGCTGTCAGCGCGACCTTCCGGATAGCACCCAGCCACTTCCTTGCCCCTCTGTGGCCCTCACTGTCACCCCTGTTTTGCCTTGCCTCCTTTGTTTCTCACCCAGTGTCCTGCACCAGCCTCCTCCCAGGGGTCCCTGTTCCCATTTGTTCCCTACATCCATTCTCTACTCAGGGCACGAGGTAGTCTTTTTTTTTTTTAAATATGGAATGCTTCACGAATTTGCATGTCATCCTTGCGCAGGGACCATGCTAATGTTCTTTGTATTGTTCTGATTTTAGTGTATGTGCTGCCAAAATGAGCATGAGGTGGCCTTTTAAAATGTGGCTCCTCTGTTCAGAGTCTTCCCGTGACTCCCATCTCGTGCAGTAGAAAAGTCACCTCTCTGGCTGCTTGCTTGCCACTCTCTCCCTGGGACCTGCCTCTGGACCTTTGCACATGCTGTTCTCCCTGTCTGGACTGCTGTTCCCCATCAGCCAGGCTCCAGTCCCTCCTTCTCAGGGCTCCTTCCTGGCCTTGCTGTAAGAGTTTGCAGTTTTTACTCCAGCCTCCATCACTCTCTTCCCTGCTGTTTTCCCCCAGCACTGTTACCATCAGACGTGTTCGTGTTGTCTCTACTGTTCATTTCTTGGGGAGCTCTGGGGGGTCGGGGTGTATATCTGCTTTGTTTGTGCCCTAAACTAAAACCAGGATCTTGAATGGTACTTAATACACAGTCAGGACTCAGCAAACGCCAGCCTGGTTCAGGTTCTCACCCTCTCACCTCCCCCATTCCCTTCCTCTCGATTAGCCACTCTGCTGTCTCCTCTCTGAGTCCTGGGCCCCCTGAGGTCTCCTGAACTACAGTGTTTGTTGCTCATTGTCCCTGGTGCCCTGGAAAGCCCCCAGGGCAGGGGAGCACGCTGTTGTACCCAGCACAGAGCTGAGCATGGCAACAGCAGAGAAGCCAAACCCAGTGTTCTGCCTCTGGGACTCAGAGCAGGGAGGGAGTTGCTTTTGTGACAGGGTCATCAGGGATGGGGGACCCACAGGGCTGCAGGCCAGAGGAGACCTCGCCTTTACCCAGAGAGCGAGGTCAAGGCAAAGCCACTGAGCTGAGAGCCAGCCTGGCCAGCCACAGCCCCCCTGGTGCCCTTGCTCATCCTCTGTTACCTGAGCCTCCACGTGGGTCAGCTTGCGGGTCTGGGCGGTGGTCTGGTTCAGGAGGCTAGTGCCCAGCTCTAGCATGGTGGCTGTCTGGTTCTGGACCATGTGCTGTTGGGCCTGTGCCAGCTCCGACCTCAAGTTCATCTGGATGTACTTCTCTAGCTGCAGGGAGACTAGAGATGGGGTTACGGGGTAGGGGCTGGGGGGAGCTTTCTGTCCTCCCACATGTCTCCAGGGATGGGCACAGAGCACTCCAGGCCAGGCTACCAATGCCTCTGGATGAGACTATCCAGGTTTTCCCCTTGGCCTCTCTGTCTCTCTTCTCGTCCCACAATGCAGCCAGGGGCATACCGTTAAATACCCAGTCAAGGTGCACCCTTCTGTTTAAAACCCTCCGAAGGTTTCTATTTCACTCAGAAAGAAAGCTGAAGTTCTCGCCTCGGCTGCATGTTCCTCCATGGCCAGACCTCCCACTCCCACCCTCATTGCCTCTCCTATTCCTCTCTCCCTCCTCAATGTATCCGTGACAGCTGTCCAACACAATGTGCACCCGCCGCAGGACCTTCGCACGCCGCTTCCACTGTGCCCCCTCTGAGACCCTCCCTCTAAGCCCCATTCTCCTTTGCTCCCGTGTCTCATTACAGGTCTCTTCACACACTTGCCACTCCCTGATTTTACACCACACACTTGTCCATTGCCTGTCTCACCCCCTAGCGTGTCAGTTCCACAAAGCCAGACACTGAGTCCTGCTCACCACATTGCCATGTCTAGAGCAGTATTTGGCATGCCGTGAGTCCTCAGTAAACATGTCCTTAATAAACTGACAGAGGAACAAAGGTCTGAGCACAACCCCCATCTCATGCCCTTTGCCCAGCTCCCCGGGTGAGCAGCGAGCAAGGAGTGGGCACCATCTTCCCTGGTTTAAGAGTTTGAGGCTGAGCTTCCTATCTCCTTCCCCCTCCATCTGCCAAACGGGGCTGGAGCGGGCAGCGTCCAAGGGTCCTGGGATCCTACGTGCTGATGCTCATTTCTTCGACAGGGTCGCTCTCTTTCCCAAGAGCAGAAGGAGCTGGTCTGGCAGGAAACCAGGATCAAGTTGTAAAGGCGAATAGTGTGTTTGCAGGGTTCAGTGCCTGGGTGCAGAATGGACTCTCTTCCACCACTATTCTGTGCTGGACTGGCGTCTTGCCACCACCCCAGTGCCTGTCCCGGGTCCTTCCCGTGCCCTCTCAGTCTTCCAGGAGGTCCAGCTGGGCAGCCCCAGAGTGCCTGGAAAGACAGTGTCCCCCAGGGAGCGGTGGCGACCTCGGCCGGGGGCCAGGCTCTGGCTGCTTCCCTCCTCATCTCTTTTTCTTTCTTCCATCTCTACTCTCCACTCCCAGGAGTGCTTTTGAAGGAGCATGTTCCATTGTCAAGCCCTGGAGGAGGCTCCACCCTGTGTCACAGAGGTAAGGTTGGCATCCTACAGGGCCAAGCTGGGCATGCACCCAGGATCCTGGGGTGCTGGAGGACTGGAGGAAAGGGGTCATGCATGATGAGATCCTGTCGAGGATGCTTTCTCTCTCTCTCTCTGTCTCTGTCTCTCTGGCCCTTGTATGTGTGGATATGCTTTCTAGCACAAAAAGAAAGGAAAAGAATCCTGGAGGGGGTGCATGGGTGGTGCTGGTATCCATTAGAACCGTGTTCCTTGAAGTGTGGCCCTCGGATCAGCATCATCTGGCGCTGGTTGGAAATGCGCATTTCCAGGTCCCACCCCCACCTCCCGAGTCAGCCATGTGGGTTGTGGCCAGCCCTCTGGCAGGATCTGAATCTGGTGCTCGGGATATGAGAACTGGTGTGGAGGCGGCAGAGGGGACCAAGGACCAGGGAGGCAAACATGTGTCTTAATCCCTCTGTCCCCTTCCTTCTTCCCAGGCATCACCAGTCCCCCATCATTGTCCCTTGGAAGACACAAACATGTTCTAGCAGCTCCCATCTAGAAACTAGCTAGAAACTAGCCCCCTCTGGGGCTTGTCCAATTTCTCTGCCATGCCTCCCCCGAGACGGTTTGAACATATCTCCATTTTTTCCCCTCACACTTACCTTTATCTTAAAAACAACACAATGGCCCAGCCCATGGCATGGTGGTTAAGGTGGCAGGGTCCCACATGGCTGACTGTGGACAGTTCAAGTCCCAGACCCAGGGACTTGGAAAACAGGCTGGACACATGGGTGTGCATGCCCAAAATCCCTAAAGGAGGGAGAAACAGAGGAGGAGGGATTGCGGTGTGACCATGCCCCATGGGGGGGGGGCTTTCTCACTTCCTCTCTCTGGCTTCCTCCAGCTAGCACACCTGCCCTCTGGCAAACATTAAAAACAAAACAAAGCAACAAAACAAAACAAAACAAAAAAACCCTATTAATATATTATTATGGTATATTTCACACAAAATAGTATAAAGAAAAATGCAACCTGTAATGTTGAATCTTTCTGTACTCTTCATCCTTGTCATGTCTCTCCAGACTTGGGAAGCCCCTCCACTCTGTAATTCACCTTGGCATGGCCACCGTGACACCAGACTCAAGGGCCATTTCCATGTCCCCATCTTACTTTCCTTGTCAGAAGGAGTCAACCCAGATGGCCATGCCCTTTTTCCTTGGACGCTCTTACCGGATACGCCTTCTCCTGGCTTCTGTCCTATCTCCTAGAACCCCACTTTCTTTCTTCCCTTCTTTAAAACATTTTTTTGTTTCATTTCATTTATTATTATTATTTTTTTAATTTCACCAGAAAGAGACAGAGAGAGAGGGAAAGTGAGAAAGTGAGCCGCCAGGTTGGCCACATGGGCGTCCAGCTCCTTCATCACCATGCCATCTGCCGGCCCCAGTGCCCTGCTTTGTAACTCCCCTTCACTGGATCCTACATGTTGGCGTGATCACACGGCCCAGTCCTGGGCCCTCTTCTCTCTTTACTTTCTCTCCCTAGCTCAGAGGTCCTCAATGAGGAACCATAGGCCTGTGAAAAATAATGGCATCTGTTGTCCACTAACTTGTGATTAAAAGTTGGCATTTTCTTTGATTTTGAATGTGGGCTGCAAGCCAGAGCAGGGCTAGCAGTCCTGAGATGCATCACAAATATCCCTCGTCACAGTGCGGTTACAGTGGCTTAAAATATGGCTGAGCTCATCACGACTCTAGATGCCCGTTATCAAACCCATCACTGGGTAATGCCATAGCCACCTCACAGGCCTGATTTTAACATTTGATTGTCATTTCAGTACTAGCAGGTGTTCATCTGCTTTGATTTTGTGCATTTCTGATCCATGAGCTTCACCCAGGACCAAACAGTCCAGGCTTCCTGGGTGGCAGGGCCCCGCCTCAGGTGCTCACACCAGCCCATGACTTCTATGTCACCCATGCTGATGTAGGGCCCCATCTCCTACTCAGACTTCTGCCCTGAGTGTCCTGACTCGCCACATTTGCATGAATTTCCAACGTGCATGGAATACCCGGCATGGACCTCTTGATTCTTCAGCTCCCACCACCCCATTCTCCCAAGTCTTCCCCATCTCAGTTAATGACCCCACCCAGCATTGATGCCCCAACCCACACTTCAACCTTCACTCTCCTGTCCTTACCTGCCACACTCACCTCTCCAGTAAGTGCTGCCCACTAAGATCCCACGGCAGATTTTGAATCTGTTGTCTCACTCCACCCTGGGCCAGGCTGCCATCTCCAGGCCTCTACCTCTGTGTTCTCCCCACTCTAGCTCCCAGAGAGTATGATGTGAACTGGCTGGGGCCCACCAGGTAGATGAGAACATGAGCTATACTGAGGCTGGAACTTTTCCATGCACCATGAACCTCTTAGAATGTGGACTAAAATAGACTTTCAGGCCCTGAACTTCTGTTCCATGTGGCTGAACAGCAAGTCCATTCCTGGGGGTGAGACCTTCTTGGCCATCTGCTCTGCACCTCTCATTTTCAGAGGGGCAAACAGAGGCCCAGAAGATGCCCTGAGGGCACCACCTATCATGCTGGGCTCCCAGACTCTCGGCCCAGGGTCTTCCCCAGATCTGCAGAGCTGGACTGGAGACTCAGGGTAGCTTGAGGTCATCCAGTGACTGGAACTCCCTATGCATCCTCACTGGACCCCCCTTGTCCTGTGGCTGCAAGTAGCTGGGTGGGGCACAGGCCACCCACAGCTGGAGCCCATCACCCAATTGGCCATACCCGCCCACCGCAGGGGCCTGGGATGGGTAATCTGGGCCAGATGGCCCCAACTGGGCCAGGCTGGGCTAGGCTGGGGCTCTGGCAACATTGGCCTGAGTTTGGGGGCTGGGTCTGGCCCAGGGCTCACAGCCAGCTGGGAGGGTAGAGAAAGGACCCCAAAGGAGAAACCCACTTAGGATGGGATCTACTGTTCTCCAGGCCTGCCACCCCGCCCAGGATTGAACCTGCTCCTTCTTTATCACCTCATGCTAGCCAATTCTCAGGCTTGAGATACAGAATAGAGGCTTGACCTCCCACCCCCTTCCAGCCTGCAAAGTGGCTGAGCTCTGGTCCCTGGTTCCCATCCCCGTGGTCCTGGGTTTAAGTCCCGGCTCTGCTGTACTCTATGGTGGGTCCTTGGACAGTGCTACATTTCTCTGAGCCTCACTCCACAAATTTGGGACACAGGGACAGTCAGTGTTGCTGTTTGCGAAGAGGGCTTTTGAAGAGGATCTTGACATGTGGACAGGCGAGGGTTAGGGAGGATGAAAGAATATTCCAGGCTGAGAACAGATGTGCATCTCTGGATGAGCAGCTCGTTGGCCGAGGAGAGCTGCTTGAGCCTGTTTCCCCCCTGCATTATTTATATTAAAGGACTTCAACTGGCGACTGGATACATAACCACGGTCCGTCTAGCCAACGGACTATACGCAGCACGAGGAAGGAGTGAACTGGGTGGCAACATGGATGACTCCCAGACACACTGCACCGAGCAAAATAAACCAGACGCGAGCGGCTCCGTACAGTAGAGTGCCCTTTGCATGACTTTCTGGGCAAGGGCAAATCTGTGATTGCCAGGGGCAATTAAACTGCTAGCTCTCACAAATGGAAGGGGGAGGGCTCATCTTCCGGACATAAGTAAACAAATACATTTATTTTACATTTTTATTTATTTTCATTTTACCTGACTCA